AATGACAAAACAAACAACCCATTAGTGCTACTCTAGTTGAAACCTACTACTATAGCCACGGAATCTAACACATGGCTTGTAAGATTTTGCTATCAAATTCAAGTACAAACAAATATACTTCGAAAGATATTTTGATTTCTTTGACACTAACCCCACCACTTGGTTTTTCTTCCCAGCATACCCCCTTCTTCTACTGGGAAATTTGTTTGTCGTTTTGTTGCTATGTATGGAATTGGGGTAGCTGTTCCACGAGCGCAAGGGCCATACGCATTTTGTAGTAGATTGAGATTCCTCAGAGGGTTGCTTTATGACAAGACTAGGGTTTTGCATTAGAAGTAAGAGGAACATGTTCTGTTGATCAATGGAAGGTAAGAAAGGTTCTCCCCGTTGATCTTCATGTGCTTTAAAATTAAAAGCTTTCTAATCATCAGGTAAATTCTAGCCGTAATTCTCTCAATGTCTTCTTCTTTTAAATTTATAAGATCAAAATTGATCCACCGTGTAGCTCAGATATTTGACTTTTTTCTTTCTCATCTCAAAGCATTGGGTTCGAGTCACTTTCTCCAAGTGGTAAGCTTATAAAGAAAAAGAAAAAGAAAAGAAAAGAAAATTACCGAACTTGTATGAGCATAGGCTTCCAAGTCTTCCCAATATACCTTAATTAGCAACTAAATTAGCAAAGACATGCCCTCAAGCGGTGTCTAAGAGAATGAAATTTTGAATTAAGAATTTTGAGTTTGAATAGTATAATGAAATTCAAAAAATAAAAGAAATTATGTTTTATTGTATAATTTATTATTTAATAAAAAAATAATTACTTGTAATGAAAGGCTAATTAATCCCAAAATAATCATGAGAACTAATTTAATAAGTAGATGTCATTTTCACCATGGATGAAAGATATGCATCTAGGTAAAGAAGCATCTGCAACCATAACGATGATGATCACCTCCATCGAGACATTTTTTTTTGTTTTGGCCGAACCACCAACACTTATCTCGCCCTTTCCAATAAAAGAGAGACCATTTGATAGCCCTTTGCCATAAATAAAAAATATTGATGCACTTTTGCTGAGACCTGAGAGCGTCAAAGTTACTTGGATTGAAAAGCCATCTCATGTTTTATTCCTTTTTTCAAGCTTTATGGGAAGCTTTCTTCTGAATTTGAGGGGTATCTGGTTCAACATTTTTCAGAAAAAAAAAAAAGGGTACCTTGTTATCTTATGAAAAGATATTCCAAGCTTTCCTTATACTTCCCACTAAACCCCATATCAATCGAAGAGCCGACCTAGTGGTCCAACAGCATTCTTTTTTTTTTTTTGGGTAGTTAGAGTTAAGTCCAGAGATTAAAGAGGATTCCTTAACTTGAAATTTGAAAATGCTTTATTTCAGAAACTACAAATTTGTAGCTTCAATTTCTTACTAGCTAGCTAGAAACAATAAACCAATTTCTAGAATACTCTAACTACTGCTTCTACTTCAGAAAAGTCATTCCGACTTATTCAAAAGGAGAATTGTCAATTGAGTCAAGGGGCAGTATAGGGAATGCCTCTGCAAATTTTATCTTTGGCTAATTTCATGACAATGGGAACTGGGAAGAGGAAAAAAAAGGGGGAAATAGATAAAGAGACTGGAAGAAAGTTGCAACTGGTACCTAGTATCAGGTGCTTTGTGATTACCCACCCATATCCCATCATCCATCTTAACAGACAGCCAGCCAGCCTAATGGGCATAATTCCCACTTGTGTCGATCAGGGTATCCTCAAGTGAATAATTTTCTTGTAAACTTATCTGGGTGCATGACAGAAACAACCATATCAAAGCTAATCTAGGTAGGAGCCAAGAAATTAGGGCACAGAGAGCATCAAGGGTCAAATTTATTAATCGAGAAAGTGCTTGATAGAAGAGACTATTCTCCTCGTATGGAACACACGAATATAAACAAAAATCGCATACAAAACTTTGGCCAGGTTGCTATCAACTAATTTTAAAACCTTAATTCCAAAATCAAGGTTAAGTATTCAACCCTCTGTAATAACTAATTACACTAACATCCTCATGTACCTAAAAAGGAAAAAGAACCAATCCATCTAAAAGCTTAATTCTCATGAATGCAAAATGAAGAATAGATTCAATCTTTTGAATAAATGCATTCACACAGACAAAATAGCTGTAGCATTTATCTAACCAATAAAAAATAGGTAATTAGAATTTTATGCTAGAAGACATGAAGAGGGAGAAAGATAATTTCCAGGTTAAACTTAGGCCTATTTTAAGTTAATTTTGTAATCAGCTGCAGGTACTTCATCTTGTGCCTCTTTTGAGTTAATAATGTCCAAGGATGTTTGGGTCATACAAGTTGAACAAACTTAGATCTATAACTCCTGAAAAAACAAAAAAGAAAAGTCCTGGTTTCCAATCATATACATTTCTCCATGGTTGTCTCTATTTTCTACCCTTGAGGTATATAATCCAACAATATCATGTTGGTGCATGTTGCCCAGAAGTGAATCTAAGCTGATCTTTTGAGCATAAGATCACTACAGAACCTTTTACTTTTTCTCTTCATTTTACTACTTTTGAAAGTATTCCTGTTCTATAGTACACTCCTTTTGTTTCTCTTACTAACCTGAGAGATTCTTGTTCAAAGATTTGTCATGCTTTTCATCTACATTGTTCACTTCACTTGCATGCAATCAGGTTGCCTTGCCTCCCTGTCTTAACGAGAAAGATATATGTTGAAGCAGAAACAATTAAACAGAAGAAGAGCTAATTCATGATATGAGACTTTATTTACTTTAAGCAGCATATAGAAAAAGGATTAGGCAAAAACAAGAACAGACCAAAGAATCCTGCTTCGATTTGTATGGTAGAATATAAAATTGCAAATAAAAGCATGCCAGATGGTTTCCCACTCTTGCAAAACAAAGTGCATATAATGTCATCCTTTAAAAGAAAATAAAACCCCGAATTAGCTGCACCTGTAAACATTCAATTTTATGATCCAAACATAGTGTTTACGCAAGCTAAAAAATTTAGGCACAAGAAGCAAAATACATACTGCATTCAGGGAAATTCCATGAATTGGAAGACAACATGAAATAGGTGCACCTTTACATGTAAAGTTGAAACCAAAATCTTGGGAGGATAATGTCAATCAGTACTCTTTAAAAGCTGATGGGGAAAATCAGGGTTATTTATTTACACAGCAAATCTCCACAAATCAAAGACAACGAAGCCTAAATCTCTCTACTCTAATTTGCTGCAATAAGTTTATCTCGATTACACTTTCACAAATCATCTGATAAGGAGAAACCCATCAGCTCAAAGCAACCAGGGAGAAGTTTGAGCTACAACCTGTGAAATAATGTGCTTATCAATTTCCATTGAATTTATATCAAAAGACAAATAACAGTTGACAGGACCCCAGTTCAGTTATAAAACAGGGTATTCAATCTTGGTACTCCTCCCTTGAAAATGCAATTTTCATTTATCAAATTCTTCGCAGCAAAAACTAAGTTATTTCATATTTTATATCTAGAATAATGAATGGTTCTCACTAGAGCAAGGCAATGGGTGAAGAGCAGTCACTTTTGGTCTTTTCCCAAGTCAAATCATCAAGGAGAAGAACTAGCTCCCCGGAATCCACTCGGGCCTACTCATTAAGGCCCATAGTGGCAATATACTTAAAAGCCCAGGCCATTTACGTTATGATAATTTTCATTCTCCAGGTACAAATTGTGTTAGCATGTATTATCCTCTGTCCCAAAACTAGCAGAGTTTATCATCAATGAAATTCTCAGGAATGAATAGGATTCTAGAATATAGCAATTAAGATTGCTAGGCCACCATGTACAGAGAACAAGCATCCTATCATTTGCACACATTTCTACAAGCATGCAACAGGTTCTGACTAGGTGTAGGCAAGCATACCAAAAACTCAAAATCATCTCGAGGATAGATAATTAACAATCTAGTGAGTGTTGCGATTTAGCAGTCCTTGAAAAGATAGGTATAAATCTTTGTTGTCTATCCCAAATATCTCTTCTGCCTTCCTCAAAGTCTCCTGAAAAGAAATACATATAAACCATTAAACTGGCTCCATAAACAACTGTAGTGCACTAGTGAAGCCAAGTAACAAAACAATATCCAGTAAATTCAGCAACTTATCACCTCTCTTGTTTGCTTTTGTGCATTTAGTTCCTTGATGTTAGCCAGAAAAGCACTGAACTGCTCATATGATAGGCGACTCCTAGATGAACAATACTTTTCAGATCAGTTTCTGAAGTGCAAGTCACTCTTTCCAAACATTATAAGTTAAATTGATTATGCATCTAACTCAAACAGAATTCACCTGGCCTGACGAAAAAATTCCTTCCCATCAATTCGAGGAGTCCGTGCTAAACAAGTTGTAGCATAAAAAGGAAAAAGTCAGAATGAAAGGAAAATAAAAATTCAAGGTAAACAATAAAGCAGCACACTAGCTGCATGACAACCATTACTAAATAATAGTGCAAGTGTGCAACACTAAGCAGAATAGCAGTTAAGTCTTATACCTGGCAGAGAATGTCCACGAGGAGGAGAGTTTGCTGCCGATGACTGCTGACTTGAAGGATACCATGAAGGGAGTGAAGCCCGCACTCCATAATGGAACTTTGAGGGAGATGTTGCACCAGAGGTTTTCTGAGGAGACCCAGCTGCAGAATAACCTTTGGGGGACCCAGTTGTGGAAATAATTTTTGGAGTTCCAGTGGGAGTGAGCCGTGGTGTGATATATGGAGTCAAAGAAAATCTTTGTACAGCATGTTTTGACTCTGCTGACAAAACTACCAGCTTAAAATGCATGTAATAAAAAAGCATCTAACAAACTTGCTTATTTTCTAATGAATACCAACTCTGAGGCCAGAATCTAGAATTTGTTACAGTATATAACATAAAAGAAAATCCATGCCATCTCTGATCATATCACCTAGGTTTCAATTCAGTAAACAGTTTTATTTATCAATAGGCCAATGCTTCTACCTTCCTTTCTCTTTTCTATGATAACTGCTGATTATTGTTGTTTGTTTGTTTAAAAGTTGTTCAAACTGCTCTATTAAATGGTTTCTTAGATGTTCATTAGTTAATCTGATTCCTTATTTCGCCACATACAAAAGAGTTTTGTTTGCAATGTTTTTCTTTGGAATATGAGGAGCACAAAGGATCTTCATACTTTTGATAAGCTTTTTCCTCACAAAATGACAGTAGAAAAGAATAACAAAATTAATGAGCAAAAGATATTTAAAGAAAACACAACCTGCATATGTTACTTTGTAATAGACTAACAAATATATGTCCAACCTATGTTGCTCAAAGTAACAGACAGGAAAGAAACAAAAGAAATTCGTCCAATTACCTTCATCAGTTGTGCTTCCTATGTCTGTGGAGCCATTGGAAGAATGTAAGGTGTAGCCACTCTTTCCATCATCTATGTGGTAGTATGCAGAGTATTAATCAACAAAATTGTCACCAAAAAACAAGAAATTGATTGGGCAAACACAGAAAGGTGCAAAACTATTCAACTCCATGAATAAACAGAACATAATAGGTGTGTATGTGTGAGTCTATACACAAAACCATATATTGAAAAAGCGGGGTTAAGGGAAGGGGAAAGCTATTCCCTATTGTATAGCCCATCTAATGCACCAAAAAAAAAAAAAAAAGTAGTACCTTTAGGGACTGCCTGATCACAGGTGCCAATATCAACAGTTTCAGCAGGCTGTTTAAAACAGAGAGTGAAAATTTTAGTAACTTTAAATAATACCTAAAAGAAAAAATTTTTAATTATAAAAAGTGAAAACAGGGTGCAAATAAGCATAATAGATTGTTACAGGAAGATGAAAAGAAAAATATCAGTAAGAGAAATGTGAAAGTCTCACAGATGTATTTTCATCATTTAAGGACTGCATGAGTTGTCTCTTAAAAGTCTCCAACTGAAAATTAGTAAAACATGTTAATTAGATATGAACAGATTAAAAACAAAACTGAAATTCAATTAAAACTGGTCATCGAGAAAATTCTTACTGATGTAGGAGACAAGCAGAGGTGAGGAGAGAATTTAGAATCAGAGGCTAAGGTGACAAGAGATAGCAGAATTGGGGATTTTAAGAAGATAACTCAATTCAAGTAACCGTAACACTAACAACCTACCTTAAATAGGAAATGAAAATTCCCACTTTTATCTCAAAAAAAAAGAAGGTGGGGAAACGGAAAACCTATATTTAGACTTTAATTCCTAATCTGACTCTAATAGGAATTTTTATTAAATTCTAGATAAATATAAATATTGCAAACTAGTACTCGAACTACATGACATCTTATCCCATATTATCTCATAAATGCTTTAAAAGTGCAGTCCAACCTATAAATTTATTATTATAATACTCTTAATAAAACTCTTTCCTGTATGATTTCATTAATCCATTTAGTAACAGTACCCGGACTACACTTTCATATACACTATATGAGTCTATGAGATTGGTGTTTATTAGCGTGACGAGTAAAAAGAGTCTCATTCATGATCTAAGTTTTTTTTCAATAACAGTTTATTGAAACAATATAGTTTAAAGTATTTTTCCTTCCTTATTTGCATCACTCACCTTAGACAAATCACGGCTGAGCTTCTTTGCAGTCATTACTAACGAATCTCTTTCCTTTGAAAGCTTCATCTACAGTAGGAAATAAGGCAACAGAAAACATTAGAATCTCAATATCCAAATGCCAAATGTTCACAAAATCATAAAAATTCACCCAAAATAAAAAAATATGATTTCTCATAAAAATTTCTTACTATCATTTGTCAAATCCACTAAATTAATCAAATATAGCGGAAGAAATACCATCATTACCAATAAACCCAACAATCCTTCAGCAAATTGGAAAAAAAAAAAAAACACACACACACACACAAGGAAAATTAAATCCCACAAAATCACCAAGACTCACTAACTACAAAATTCTGAACTCTAACCCACTACTAACTTGACACAATTGCTACGAAACAACCCTCATTTTTTTAGCTATCTCCAAAATCAGCTAAGAATATATTCAGAATCATCCTATCAAATTTCAAGAAAGAAAAAAGGCACATATAAATTAAGCCAAAATGAATAAAAGAAGAAAGGAAAATTGAATTACATTCTCATCGAGAGTAATTTTGTATCTAGCCTCGGACTCCTGGTACGCCTGCTGCAACCTCGAGACTTTCTCCTCCAAATCGTTAATAATCCGATCCTTGTCGTAAACCTTCTGATGCATCTTCCCCATCTCCGCCTCCAAGTTCGACACCCTCGAGGCAATGGCCATGGAAGTGATCTTGCGTGCCAGATCCAGCTGCTCGTACGCGTCCGTCGGAATCACCGCCAGAATCTCATCCGGCAGGCTGAAGTCCACAGTCCCACTCCCACTCTCACTCTGCAGCATATCCAATGGTTCACTGTCTCCTACGAAGGGTGGTTGGATATGGCGCTGGTTAGGTTCTGTGCGAAAGGTTGGGGAGTGGCTTTGGGTTTGAACACAACGGATTTTCAGCGATTAATTAATAAATTATGGAAGATAGCGTGAGTTTTGTCGGACGTGGCCCTCATTTTTGCGGGTATCTGTCCAAAATTGAAAATTTGGTGCGTTCCCTCCAAAAAGAGTAGTTCTCAACATTTCTAGAATCTTGGGCTTTAAAATTCCTTATGAGTTATGACCACAAAAATTCCTTGATTTCGGCTCCGGAAAATTCTATTTTCAAATTTAAATAAAATTACAAGTTATGGGGGTGTTTGTTTCATATGTTAGATATGTTAGAGGATAGTTATTTGATTTTAATTAAATAGTTTAAATTATAATTTATAATTATTATTAATTATTAAATATTAACTATCAATTATCAACTATATTAAAAGTTTAAAACAATCAATTCCAACAACTTCTATATTTTTTTAACTTTTTTATTCTGTTTTTTTCATTTCTTTGGTGTATGGTAGGGGAAGGGGGGTGAAATGTTCCCATCAGAAGAAGATATTATGACAAATTTATAATTTTGTAATTTTTAGTATTTTAATTTTATAAAAAAAATTCTATCGTTTAACAAATGCATATTTGAAAATTCCACATATGCAATTTTTGCTGATGTGGCCTGAAACTTTTAATTACTATACCAGCAGAATTTAAGTGACACATAATGATCCTACCCATTTTTTACACATTTAAAATAATATAAGTTACAAAATTAAAAAGTTTTTCAGGTTCGGCTTTTTTTTTTTTTTTTTTTTTTTTTGTAATTTTGATAAATAATTACATTTGCCAAAAAAACAAAAAGAAGATAAATATGTCTTAATCAAGTCTTGCTGGTTGCTGACGGGTCTGGGTGGCCTAAAAATAAGACTTGTAGGATGAAGCCCAAGATTTGCGCGGCTTTTTCTCGTATTAACACAAGCCCATCCGTGCCTTAAAATGGGCTCCAATCTATCTGCTTCTTCTAGACAAAATTTAAGCTTTATGTTTTGTGATGCAGCCAAAAAGGTAGTCAAAAGTAAAATCTTGCAAGATATCTTCTTGCTGAATTTCCGCTCCCACACAATTAAAAGGTATCTAGTCAAGTAATTGCAAATGTTTTGTACGCCAAAAAAAAAATTGCAAATGTTTTGTACGCCAAAAAAAAATTGCAAATGTTTGAAAATATTTTTTAATAAAATGTGAAATTTCGTTTCCAAAATTCAACTAAGCAATCTTTCCTTACCTTTATGCCTTCATCAATCTCTCATTACAGCGCTTGTTAAGGTGTAAAATGCAATGCCAACAACTTAAGAGGCTTATTAGGGATTTGGATGAAGTAAAGAAATAAAAATATGAACTCAATTAAGTACATATTGTATTTTATTTTTAAGTAACTGTAGCACATGATTTATTGTGTATTAAGAATATTCTCGAATCATTCTAGACTATATAGTCTATATGACAGCAACTTGAACGGAGTAACATTAAAGGAAGTAAAAACCCTTTCTTGGCATTTTCCTTTCCTTTATTTTTAACATGGCATGAGAGCTTTATATTTTATCTACTCGATCAGCTTTGGTTTGGTTAGTGGTATATAGTATTAGGCTTGAAAGATGTGTATTTAAGAAAGACTTCTTCATTGATTTCCAAAAAACAATGCGGTACAATATATACAGAATTACAGAGACTAAATCTAATTTAATTAGGAAACAATATTTGTATAATATATTTACAATTATAATATTGATCTAGAAAATCTGAAACTTCATGGTGGTGATTTTGTATCCTTAATACGCCCTTGCAAGACAGTAGTGCCATTAGCAACTCCGATCTTGGACCTCAAGCTATGGAACAACGAGAAGACAGAGGTTTAGTCAGGCCATCTGCAAGTTGATAATGAGAAGCAATATGGGAAACATGAATCACCCCTTTATCTACCAAATCTCAAACAAAATGTAGATCAATGGCAATGTGCTTCATTCTAGAGTGCATTACATGATTGGAACTGAGATAAGTGGCACCAATGTTGTCACAAAAAATGGCCGGAGATGAAGAACAGGAAATGCCAAGTCACTGAGGACATGGCACACCCAAACCAGCTCAAAAGCAGTAGCAACAAGAGCTTGGTACTAAGCTTCAGTGGAGCTTCGAGCAACAGCTTTCTATTTCGCAACACACCAAGAAATTGGATTCTAACCAAGAAAGACAATATAACCAATTGTACTAACCATCGTACTACGATCACCAACCTAGTTCACATTCGAGTAAGCATGAAGTGATAAAGTAGACTGGGGTCGAAGAAGCAATCCATGAAACAAGGTTCCCTTGAGATAACGCAGAAGCCATTTGGCAGCCTGCTAGTGTACTTCAGTGGGTCTGTGCATGAACTGGGCAAGCTTGTTGACGAAGAAAGACAAATCAGGGCGAGTGAGAGCCAAGTACTGCAAGGAGCCAATAAGCCTCCAATAGTCTGAGCCATCCGAAAGGGCAATACCAGATAAAAGATGCAAGTCTGTGTTAAGAGCAATGGGGGTAGCAACGGGCTTGGCCTTATGCATTTGAAACTTCCGCAACAGATCATTAATGTACTAATGCTGCGAAAGAAAAAGGCCATCACTGGTAGAAACAGCTTCAACATCTAGGAAAAAGCCGAGGGGACCTAAATCCTTGATGGAGAAATGAGCACCCATAGTGTAAATAAGAGAGGAAATCATAGTAAGATCACTGCCAGTGATGAGGTTATCATCCACATAAACAAGAAAGTAAATCCAAGTACAACCCCTATGAAAAATAAATAAAGAAGAATTTGAACGTGAATGGGTAAAGCCCTGAGACAGAATAAATTTCTTGAGCTCTTGAACCAAGCTCGAGGAGCCTGCTTTAACCATAAATAGACTTCCTCAATTTACACACATGAGTTGGAAGATTAAGATCAACAAACCTAGCCGGTTGAGTCATAAACAATGTTTCCTCAAGATTCCCATGCAAAAAACCATTATTAACATCAAGCTGACGAATAGGCCACTTGCGACTCACAGCAATGGATAGCACAATACGAATGGTAGTAGGCTTAATTACCGGACTAAAAATATTAAAATAATCCGAACTCGGACATTGATGAAATCCTTTAGCAACAAGTCGTGCCTTGTAGTGTTCAACACTACCATCCTTAGCTCGTTTAATACGAAATACCCATTTGCAGCCAATAAGATGTTGATGAGGTGTAGAAGGAACAAGTTCCCAAGTACCTTGACGAATGAGAGCACCAAATTCATCAGACATGGACTTCCTCCAATTGAGATATTTAAGAGCTTAAGTCACACACGTAGGTTCACACACAAGAGGATGGTGACAGCTTGATGAAGGACTTTGGGTTTAAATATGTGGTTACGAGGCTGAGTAATCATGGGGTGAATCTAGATGGGTGCAAGGGATAACAAGTGGACAATTGGATAGGAGATATAGATTTTAAGGGCAAGGGGGAAGCTGAAGTAGACTGGTGAGGTTGAGCCACCACTAGGGAGGATGTGAGATGCTCAGGCTGTTGTTGGATGGTCTTGAAAGTAGATGTGGGGCTGGGCTGTGAGCAACATGGGCTAGGTAGGTTGGAGGCAAGCCGAAAGTTAGTGTTTGCTGGACAAGAAGTAGTAGATGGCTGTTGTAGGACAGGTGGTGAGGTAGAGTTTAAGGCAGGAAGTGAGATGATGGTAGAGGAGACAACTTCTTAGACCAAGGAATCATGAAGACCAACGGCAAGAAGAGGAGTAGGCGTTGGCAAGTCACCCAGGTTAGCAAGCAGCAAAGATGAGTGGGCAAGAGATGAATCAGGAGCCTTTGTTTAAAAGGAAAAATATTTTCTTGAAACAGGACATTCCAAGAATAGAAAATTTTTCCATTGTTAAGATCAAGACATTTGTAACTCCTATTTTTAGTAGAGTACCCAACAAATAAATAGGGACGGGAACGAAATTGGAGTTTGTTGGAATTGTAAGGTCAAAGCCATAGAAAACAAAGACAACCAAACACAAGCAGTTTCATGTGATTTGGTTGAAGGTGAATAATTTTTCAAAAGGAGTTTTATTTGAAATCACTGGAGAAGGTAGCCTATTAATGAGGTAAATTGCTGTTTGAAAAGCAAGCGACCAAAATTTAGTTGGGAAAGAAGCATTGTGTAAGAGCGCCAAACCAGTTTCAACCACATGTCAATTACGACGCTCGCTTAAACCATTGAGTTCATGTGTATAAGGAGGTGTGGTAAAATAGGAAATACCATGTGAAGGTAAAAATTGGCGAAGAGCCACAAATTCGCCCCCGCCACCCGTATGTAGATTTTTAATTTTTTTTGTCAAAATGGGTTTCTACTAATTGTTTGAAAATGGGAAATATTTTTAACACATTAGATTTATGTTTGATAGGATAAAGCAAAACATAGCGACTAAAATTATCAACAAATAAGACATAATAATTAAACCCATCAATGGACGAGATTGGGGTAGGACCCCAAACGTCTAAAAATATATGTTTTAGAGGGGATGAACTCATAATAGATGAAGTTGAAAAAGGTAAATTATGGCTTTTGGAATAAGAGCAAGATTCACATGAAGAAAAACTCATTTTATTAGATAATGGAAGATTAAAGGAAGTAACAATATGTTTTAGGGTGTTTGCTGAAGGATGACTTAGGCGTAGATGCCAATTTGCCATGGTAGTACGCTCTCCTAAGAATGCCTGTGGTTGGGGCCTAATTCTTCCTGGAATTTGATAAATCTCATGAACGTTTGGTCTTTGAAGTAGTGTCTTCCTCGTGCAAGAGTCCTTCACCAAAAAATAATTAGCATGAAATTCAACATAAACATTAGCACTCTTGCATAATTGAGATACAAAATTAAATTTCAAGAAGTAGATGGAACACATAAAACATTACAAAAAGGTAAAGAGGAATTAGGAGTGAGAAGTGTGGAATGGCCCATGTGTGTGATTTTCAAACCTATTCCATCACCAATTTGAAGTTCATTAGGACCATTGTATTCATAATGAAGAGCTAGGTTGGCCAAGTCGGTGGTCACATGATTATTTGCTCCAGAATCCAATAAGCAATTATCAAAGAAATTGTTGGATGAGGAGGTAAGGTTGGCCATGGGGCCAAGAGACTGCACTTGAAAATTAGGACAATTGTGGGCAAAATGGCCTACATGCCCACACAGTTGGCAAGTTGACCCAACAGGCCTATTGTTAAACCTTGGGTCTTGTCCACGACAACGATGACTATTGGGCCGATTGGAAGGACCAGAACCTCCC